GGAGGCGGTCTCGAAGGTATCCGGGTCCGATGCCATGGAGCGCTTTGAAGATGATAGTCAACACCTTGAAGCGCACCCGGAAGGCCACAGGCAGCCAATGCAGCTCGCGCAGCAGCGGTGTTATATGGGAGCGTCGAGTCCCTCCCAACACCGCCCGCGCGGCCGCATTTTGGACTAGCTGGAGCCTCCGGGTGCTCCTTAGTAGGAAAGCGACGTTCCTTCCAGTTTCCCACTAGCAGCCACCCAAGCGGCTTCTGTTCCTACGTCGGGAAAAACGTCCCAGAGTTCCTTGCGGCGTCTTCGTTTCCTTTTTTCGCCGTTGATTAGATTTGAATCTGTTGCCGGAATTTAGATCTTAAATTTAAATATTCCAAAAGTCAGTGGGAAGAAATGTTGCCAAATGGGGCAAAGCACAATCGCAACCTCACTTAGCTTAGGCTCAATTGTCATAAGGTGAGGACTGCCTGTAGCCTTCTGGTAGGTCTGTCGTAACTTTGAACACCTGCTAAGCAAGTGGCCACAACTCAGACTGGTTTTAACTTAACCCTCTAAATCAGTGGTCCTCAACCGTGGCCACTTTAAGACTTGTGGAATTCTGGGAGTTGAAATCCACAAGTCTTAAAGTGGCGGGTTCATGCCAGGGGTTTTCATAATGGCTCAGCTTGGTACGAGGCTCCTTCCAGCTGGATGACCTTGAGGCAGCTTCTGGAGGTGGCTCAGCCTCTACTTCCGATTCCCCAACCGTCCCATCTCTGCAGCTCATGGCAGTCTGTCACCGCATAACAACGGAACCCAGCAAGCATAAAGTGACAGCTGACACCGGTCATAAGTTGCCGACTGCGTATAGTTCCGCCCTCTTTGCCCTTCCTTCCTGAGGGAGGGGTTGGCTCACATACTCCTCCGCTCCATCCACGGCCCTCACTGGCTCCCCGTCTCTTCCGGCCCGCAGGTGGACGACCTCTTTCTGGAGGACTTCAGCGCCAAAGCGGACCAGCTCTTCCTGGAGTTTGACTACCAGCCCATCGCGGCCGCCAGCTTGGCCCAGGTGCACCGGGCTCGGCTTCACGACGGCACCCCGGTGGCCGTAAAGGTGTGTCCGGGAGGGCAGGCGAAGCGAGGATGTACCAGCCTGAAGGATCTAGAGGGGCGCGGAAATGGCTGAACTACACTTCCCAGCATCCCTTGGGAGTTAGAGTGCAGCAGGTGGTCTTCCTCCTTTCCGACTTCTAGGGGTCTGGCCTCGCTTCCTGCGGGGTGGGGAAGGGGTGTCGCTGGTCCTTTGGGCTACGAGTCTCCTCTGGGGCTGCTCCCATCCCCGGGCGGTGCGTCACCATCTCCGGCTCCCCTGTGCAGGTGCAGTACATCGACTTGAGGGACCGGTTTGACGGGGACATCCGCACCCTGGAGTTCCTGCTGTGGATCGTGGAGCTGATGCACCCCAGTTTTGGCTTCGGCTGGGTCTTGCAGGTATGGTGTGGCCCAGCGTCTCTCGCCACCGACCTGAGAGGGCTGCTCTGGAATCCGCCTCCTACCCCCCCCTCTGCAGCACCCCAAATACCTTGGCTTGCTTGCCCTTCCAGGCACCCGACTCTGGTGGCAAGGGGGATCCCCCGTATCTGAGTCAGGACCCTTTGTGTCTCCCCACACTGAAGGCGGCCTGTTCAGAACAGCTTTGGCAAAATTGGTGAGGAGAGGGTCTTAAGGCAGGGGTCTTCAAACTTGGTCCTTTTATGACACGTGGACTTCAACTCCCAGAATTCCTCAGCCAGGATGCTTTAAGACAGGGGTCTCCAAACTTGGCCCTTGGATGACTTGTGGACTTCAACTCCCAGAATTCCTCAGCCAGGATGCTTTAAGACAGGGGTCTCCAAACTTGGCCCTTGGATGACACGTGGACTTCAACTCCCAGAATTCCTCAGCCAGGATGCTTTAAGACAGGGGTCTTCAAACTTGGCCCTTGGATGACTTGTGGACTCCAACTCCCAGAATTCCTCAGCCAGGCACGTGTGCCTGGCTGAGGAATTCTGGGAGTTGGAGTCCACAAGTCATCGAAGGGTCATAGTTCCCTCACGCTGGCTGAGGAATTCTGGGAGTTGACGTCCACAAGTCATCAAAGGGTCATAGTTCCCTCACGCTGGCTGAGGGATTCTGGGAGTTGAAGTCCACAAGTCATCAAAGGGTCATAGTTCCCTCACGCTGGCTGAGGAATTCTGGGAGTTGAAGTCCACAAGTCCTCAAAGGGTCATAGTTCCCTCACGCTGGCTGAGGAATTCTGGGAGTTGAAGTCCACAAGTCATCCAAGGGCCAAGTTTGAAGACCCCTGTCTTAAAGCATCCTGGCTGAGGAATTCTGGGAGTTGAAGTCCACGTGTCATCCAAGGGCCAAGTTTGAAGACCCCTGGTCTAAGGCTTAAGGGAACAGGTCAGGTTTGGGGGGGGTTTAAAAGGATCCCCTTTCAGCATCTTTCTTTCAGTGGAAGAGGCAGAGGGACGATGGGATCTTGGTGGAAACACTGAAGGGTTTATGGGGGGATGCCCCCGTGGCTCTGGGAGGGAGCTAGAGGTGGCGTGAGTTGAACTAGACCAGGAGTAGGCAACCTGGGCTCTTTTATGACTCGTGGACTTCAACTCCCAGAATTCCTGAGCCAGCCACCCTGAGGGGA